AGACGACGACGCCGACGGCGAGACGTGGTGGCGAGTGGCGGGAGCTGGCCATAGTCGACAGGATCATCAGGATGCGCGTTAAGGATGCAGGGCCCTTGGATGCGTAAATTGAAGCCGAGGTGGGAAGCCGATGGCCGATGGCCGAATAACAGGATGGGCCGAGAGGCAATGATGTAGGTACCCTTGGGAACTTACTCGTCTTAATGATGAGGTTTGACGATATGGGTAAAGGGCACGGGCAAGGTGAAAGGAGCAAGCGGCTACACGAAAGGGGGCTGGAGCTTCAGCCAGAGCTCGAAAAACAAACAAACTCCCCCGGTGGAGATTTGGCGAAGTGCTCTTTGTCCTGGCTCAGCTCCAAGTCAAATGAATCCCAAAATAGAATAATGTAGTGGTGCATACTTGCAGCAGGGTGATAAATTCTCCGTCCAAGGGACAACTACCAAGGTGGGATAAACCTCTCAAATGGGAGGAAACGTCCCGTAAACCCTCCCTGCGGTACTTTGCGTCATCATTTAAATCATCGATACGACTATAGTTCCCCATTTGTTCCAGCGCCAGTATGGAAGAAGAAAAAAGAACGATGAGGTGAATGCAAGGCAGATTAGAACCCCCCTGTTTTATTGAACTCATCCAAGACGACCCCAAGATGGCCCCCCAAGGCTCCAAAGAGTGCCCCGAGAGGGTGCCAAGAGTCGCCCAGGAGGTCCCAAGAGGCCCACAAGAGGTTCCCAAGAGGCTCCCAAGAGACCCCACAGATGCCCCAAGAGGCTCTTCCTCCTCCTCCTCCTCCTCCTCCGATTCCTCCTCCATCCTTCCCCTTCTAAGGGTATGACAGCTTCCACGGCCCTTTATTCCACTGCATGCTCCTCCACATCCCTGATCAGGGCAACTCGCCTGGGTATCGTTTCTGGATGGGCTGGTGCGGTTATGCGAAGCGTCTAGAATTCCTTGCGCCTCCTTTGGACCTCGTTGCGATTACTCCAGAGTTCCTCTGGCTTCCTTGAAAATCCCTGCGCTCCATTGCGAACATCTTGCTCATCCTGAAGGAATCCTCTGGGGAGCAAAAAGTTAAGAAACACTGAGGAATCGTATTTACGCATTCGCTCAGACACCACTAGGGGGTGCACGTGAAATCACCCAGAAATGGTTGACAACACTCGGGAATCCCTTATGAATCACTTGCGAATCTCAGCATCACAGGCTGGGGTGGAGGGACCCCCCCCCCGAAAAAATTAGCCTGGCGAAGGACCCAACCATATGCAGTTGTGAATACCGCAGTTGTGAATATCGTCCTCGGTGGAGCTCCTTAGGGGGCCACGAACTGCGTGAGGGGCCTGCAACAGTGGTGGCGGTGGTGGGGAACCGCATGCGGGCACCCCCACTGGGGCCTTCGGTGGAGCTCCCCATGGGGCTACGAAACGCTGCCCTGGGTGGGGGAACCGCATGCGGGCACCCCCACTGGGGCCTTCGGTGGAGCTCCCCATGGGGCTACGAAACGCTGCCCTGGGTGGGGGAACCGCATGCGGGCCGCCCCACTGGGGCCTTCGGTGGAGCTCCCCATGGGGCTACGAAGCGCTGCCCTGGGTGGGAGAACCGCATGCGGGCACCCCCACTGGACCCAACACCACAGGATGGTTGGGAACAAAAACCGGACCCCCCCAGATCCGGGACGTTTGGGGGCCCCCCCGACACCCTTGGAAGAGGTCCCCTGGCCCTGCCGCGCCTCCCGGGGTGCCAGCGCCGGGCCCTGCCCAGCAGTCCCAGAGCGATCGGAGGAGCGGCCGGAGAGGCGCAGGGGAGCCCCAAGACAGCGCAGGACGGCCTCAAGACGGCACGCGAGGCCCCCCAAGACGCCTCAAGAGGCCTCCGGGATGGCCCGCAAGAGGCAAAAACCTTCGCATTCCAGCAGCGTTCACGACGGCCCAAGAGGCCCCCGAGATCGCCCCAAGACGGCCCGAGGGGCCCCCAAGAGGGCTTCAAGACAGCCCACGGGGGCCCCAAGGTTGCCCCAAGACGGCCTAAAAGAAGCTCACGAGGCTCCCTAAGGCTCCCATGAGAGTCCCACGAGGGCCATGGGAGGTCCCCAGGAGGACCTAAGATGGCCACAAGAAGGCCCACAGAGGGTCCAAATTCCCCACGGAAGCTCCAGCAGGGCCCACGAGGGACCCAAGACGGTCCAAACGGGCTTCAAGAGGACCCCCAAGACGGCCCAGAGAGGCGCCCAGAAGGCCTCCAGGGGTTCCCAAAGCCCTTGAGAGGCATTCGTGAGGCCCCCAAGAGGTTCTCCAAAAAGAAGAGCCTCTGCAAAAAGACTTGCGGCAGACGGGGAATGGTTCGCAACGCCAGGCGACAGCGAGGATGAATGAGAGGAACGATGTGGAACGACAAGGCGTTGCTTTCCATTGCCTTGCATTGCGCGACCTCGCAACATTGAAGGCGAACGTTCGCGCATTCCCGTTCAACACCAGCCGATTATTGACCTCTGGCCGCTTTCATCCCGAACGCCCGCGCCGTTATCGCCGCCGCGTCGACACGATATAAACCGACCGTGAAGTTCTGGAGGACAAATTGTTTCTTGGGAGTCGTTTCCGCTACTCCTGGATCTGTTTTTCAGGCCCTCCGGGTTGCAGCGGCTCCTAAAGGCCGACGTCGAACCAAAACCTCCGAACAGTGCAGAAGCTCCAAGAAGCCTGGCGGCATCCAGCGCTCCCAACTGCGTACAAACAAACAAAGATATGAAGCATCGTAGACCCCGAAGAGTGAGGCGCTGAACTCCGGCAATGAAAGTTATGCGGCTTAAGTTATGTGATGTGGACTATTTGGGGTCGTCTTGGACGCCAGGGGCGAGCATTAAAGCCGTACCCCGGATAGTTTGCCCTATGTGCTGGGGGCCTGGCCTGGGATCCAGGAAACCCGGCATATACACACATGTGTGTATATATAGAAGTCCGTATACACAGAAGTATGCATGTATGTATGCATGTATGTATGTATGTATGTATGTATGTATGTATGGATGGATGTATGGATGTATGGATGTATGGATGTATGGATGTATGGATGTATGTATGTATGTATGTATGTATGCATGTATGTATGTATGTATGTATGTATGTATGTGCGTACGTATAAATACATATGCAGATGTGCATGCATGGATGTATGCATTTGTGCCTATGTGTATGTGTGTTCGTATGTATGTATGTATGCATGCATGTATGCGTGTATGTATGCACGTGTGTATAATAGTATGTATGTAAGCATGTGGGCACGTAGGTGTGTATAGTTGATGTATACATGATCAATGTTGGTATGACTGTGTGTATGTATGTGTATACATATGCATGCATGGTTGTGTGTATGGGTTGATGAATGTATGCATGTATGAATGCATGCATGTGTGTATGTGAGTATGTCTGTCTGTCTGCCTGCCTGTCTGTCGGTCTGTCTCTGTCTGTCTGTCTCTGTATGTCTGTATGTATGTATGTCTGCATGTTTGTATGTGTGTCTATATGTATGTATGCATGCATGCATGCATGTATGTATGTACTGTGTGTGCGCGTGTGTATTCTTCGTAAAGGCGTACGCACTGCAGAGGTACGAACGAAAACTCCATCTCGAGGCGTCGCCGCCAGCGCCGACGCGGCGAATCACAGCCACGGAGGGAACCCGCTGTCGGCGGGCTCTGCCGGGCGTGGCGGGCTCTGCGGCTGGCGGCGGGCGCCGAAGAGGGCGGGCGGCTCCTTGGCCGCCAGCAAGCCCTCTCTGATGAGCGCCTTCGCCCCCCCCCCCGCGCGGGGCTGTGGCCGGGCCGGGGCTCACATTGGAGGCTCGGAAATGGGCACCAACACCAGCACAGGGGGGCTGCCTCCGCGGGTGGAAAAGGATCCTAGATTTTGGTGTCGGTGGTAATCATTCGACCACCTAGGCAGCCCGAAGATTACCACATCACCGAGGTCGGGATCATCTTCCCTCAGTGGAGGCGCACCGCCGATGTTGGTGTTGGCGTCGGCGGGCGATAACACGGATTGGGGTGAGCGCCAGATCCATGGATCGGGACGAGATTCCCGCCAAAGTATGCAGCCAGCGCCGCTCGCTCTGGCGAAGGAGCGCGTCGAGCTTGCATGGAGACGGGGCCCGTCGCTAGCTCACGCGCCCGAATCCATGTGTTTGCACTTCCTCGGCTGTCCCCCAAAGCGCGGGGCTGCGGGGCGGCCGCGCAGCGAGGCATGGCATCCGCCCCCTCCTTCTCCTCCTGATCCTCACGAGCGGCGACCGTATCCATATCCGCGGACTCGCGATCTGGATTCCGGGGCGCAATCCAACGGGTACGCGGTCGCGCGGGGCATGCTCCGCGCGGGGCATCCCTGAAAAGGCACGCTGGATCGGATGGATCGCGGCCCAGGGCTCGGCCTGCGAGGCCCTGGCCAATTGTGGGCATGTTCCCCGCTCACGAGCTCCGGCTCCCGGGCAGGGCTGTCTTGGATACCTCTGGGAGCCGAAGAGGCACGTTTAAGATCGCCGACTCCTAAACAAAAAAATCCTCATTTTGGCAAGACGGCTCACGCAGAACAGCCATCTTGGGAATCCCGTGAAGGCGACCTGAACCACCTCTGAGGCATCCTGGGCCGTGTTGGGGAGCTCTCGGAGCACTACTATGGTGCATCCTGCGTTTACTTTGCTTTTCCTCCTCCTCCTTGTCCTCCTCTCCTCCTCCTCCTCCTCCTCCTCCTCCTCCTCCTCCTCCTCCTCCTCCTCCTCCTCCTCCTCCTCCTCCTCCTCCTCCTCCTCCTCCCCCTCTTCCTCCTCCTCTTCAGCATCACCACCACCATCATCAGCATCACCATCAACCTCAATACCCTTTCCTCCCCATCTTACCCTCCATGATACTCAAAGTTGCTCCTCATCCCCCTCCTCCCACACCTCCTGCTCATCGTCATCGCCGTCGTAATCATCGTTACCGTCGTCGTCATCATCATCTCACCACCACCACCACCAGCATCATCATCATCATCATCATCATCATCATCATCATCATCAGCAGCAGCAGCAGCATCATCATCATCATCATCATCATCAGCATCATCATCATCATCATCATCATTATCATCATCATCAACATCATCATCATCATCATCATCATCATCGTCATCATCATCATCATCACCATCATCAGCAACATCATCGTCATCATTATCCTCAACATCGCCATCATCATCACCAACATCAGCATCACAGTCGTCATCTCGGAGGAGTGTATCTATACACCAATCGAACTCCAGATGTATAATGTATGGCAGGTGTTTTCTTTGGTGCCGTTTTTTCAATGTTCCTTCGCTGATCCTCATCATCGTCCTCATCAACAGCATCATCAGCAGCATCTCGCCCTTCCCCTCAGCGCCATCAAACTCTTCATCATCTTTCTCTTGCCCGTCCTCCTCCCAGAACTTCGTCTTACCCCTCCACTTCCCCATCCTCCCCCTCCCCCTCCCCCTCCTCATCCTCCTCCTCCTGCTCTTCCTCCTCCTCCTCCTCCTTCTCTTCGTTCACCTCTCCTTCCTCCTCCTCATCACCATCATCACAACCACCACCACCACCACCACCACCACCACCACCACCATCATCATCATCATCATCATCATCATCATCATCATCAGCAGCAGCAGCAGCAGCATTGTCACCAATATCATCATCTTCACACTCATGAGCATCATCATCATCATCATCATCATCATCATCATCATCATCATCATCATCATCATCATCATCATCATCATCATCACTATAATCAGCATCATCGTAATCATCATCATCAGCATCATCATCATCAGCTTCATCATGATCATCATCATCCTCATCATCATCACCACCACCACCACCACCATCATCATCATCATCATCATCATCATCATCATCATCATCATCATCATCATCATCATCATCATCATCATCATCATCATCATCATCATCATCATCATCATCATAAGCATCAGCAGCAGCAGCGGCATCATCCCAGCTCCTTCCTACTCCTTGCCATCATCTGCCTCTTCATGTTTTTCCTCTTGCTCGCGCTCCTCCTTGAACGTCCTCCTCCCTTTCCCCCTTCCCGTCCTCCTCCTCCTCCAATTGCTAGTCCTCCTCTTGCTATTCCTCCCTTCCCCCTCCCCTCCCCCTCCTCCCTCCTCCTCCTCCTCCTCCTCCTCCTCCTCCTCCTCCTCCTCCTCCTCCTCCTCCTCCTCCTCCGTCTCTCCTCCCATGAATGATCCCCCATCCCTCCCCGCGCCCTACATCCATGGTGCCTCCCTCTGCCCGCCCCTCTTTGCTCCATTCGCCTTTGATCGCCTCCCCCTCCGAACCCGTATCGACGGCTCACCCATCTCTTTGCCCCCCCCCCACCTCGGGGGCCCCGTGGGGAAACCCCTCCCAGGGAGGAAGTGACCGGGGTGGGGGCCGAACGACTCGGCGGCAGCGGCGAAAGACCTCGTCGAAGGCCTCAGCGACGGAGCACGGGCAAGCGAGAAGGCTTCCCAGCGGATCATGAGCCCGCGGATCAGCGGCACAGCAGAACCCACAACCATGTCGAGGAAGCTGGAACACACACACAGGGCTAGGCCCAGATGTGCAGCGTGCGGAGGCCGGGGGCGCTGGAAGGGCGGGCGCGCTCCGCCGAGGAAGGGCCGGGCGCTGGAGAGGCATGCGGCCACGTGCCGGGGCTCCCGAAACGGATGCGCCGCAAAACGGGGCATGGGCTTGTCCACATGCCCGCCCCTTACAGTCGGGGCGTTGACCTAAGGAACCCTACATAAGGAACGAGGCCCCTTTTCTCCATGAATTAAATAAACTTCGATTTCCCATCGAAAACCTACGGAAAACAGAAGGCAAACTGTGAAACAATTAAGGAACACGGAGCCCCTCCCAAACGAGAAGGGTTCCTTCTTCAGCGCCCCGACTGTGCTGTGCCCCCGTCTCAGGGTGCCCAGGGACCCCCGGACGGGGGCATGGCCAAGCGTTGAAATCGGCGTGCCCCGTGCCTCCCCTTTGCTGTGGCTAGACGGAGAAAAAACCACATAAACACAAACTTCTGGCGCTCCGCGCGGCTTTCTCGGATCCGCGCTGGACCCCCCTCTCTGGCGCGCGGAGCGCGCCAGGGGGCGGCGCCGGAGGCACCGCCGGGGGGCCCAGGCGCGGATCCGAGAAATTCGCGCGGAGCGCCAAAAGTTTATGGCTGTGTGGTTCTTTCTTCTTCGAGTGACCCCATTTCCAGCTCCTCCGCCCCGCACTGCCCAAGAAAGCAGAACCGGCCGGCCGCCCTGGCCGCTCCGCAGCAGGCACGACGCGTGAGCGCTCCAGCCTTCCCCTCCTCCTCCTCCTCCTCCTCCTCCTCCTCCTCCTCCTCCTGCCTCCTCCTCCTCCTCCTCCATCCTGATCATCAGCATCATCTCATCATCATCATCATCATCATCATCATCATCATCATCATCATCATCATCATCATCATCATCATCATCATCATCATCATCATCATCATCATCATCATCATCATCATCATCATCATCATCATCATCATCATCATCATCATCATCATCATCATCATCATCATCATCATCATCATCCATCATCATCATCATCATCATCATCATCATCATCATCATCATCATCATCATCATCATCATCATCATCATCATCATCATCATCATCATCATCATCATCATCATCATCATCATCATCATCATCATCATCATCATCATCATCATCATCATCATCATCATCATCATCATCATCATCATCATCATCATCATCATCATCATCATCATCATCATCATCATCATCATCATCATCATCATCATCATCATCATCATCATCATCATCATCATCAATCATCATCATCATCATCATCATCATCATCATCATCATCATCATCATCATCATCATCATCATCATCATCATCATCATCATCATCATCATCATCATCATCATCATCATCATCATCATCATCATCATCATCATCATCATCATCATCATCATCCTCATCCTCATCCTCATCCTCATCCTCATCCTCATCCTCATCCTCATCCCCCTCCTCCTCCTCCTCCTCCTCCTCCTCCTCCTCCTCCTCCGCCTCCTCCTGCTCCGCCTCCTCCTCCTCCTCCTCCCTCCGCTCTCGCGGCCGCTCCTCCCCCCCTTTGACCTCTCCTGCTGCCGGCCATTCGCAGTGCCGTCACCAGGCTCGCCCGAGCGCCCGTGCAGGCTCCCTCCCCAGACCCCCTCGAGCAATGCAACCATCACGACGGGAGGTCTTTCGCCAGCGTCGGCCTCCGTGGGCCCTTGCCGGGCCTCGGGACCGTGGATGATGATGATGATGATGATGATGATGATGATGATGATGATGATGATGATGATGATGATGATGATGATCCTGATCATCATCATGAGGATGCCATCCTCATGATGATTCTGGTGACGATGCTGATGCTGATGCTGATGCTGATGCTGATGATGCTGATGCTGTTGCTGATGATGATGCTGATGCTGATGCTGATGCTGATGATGATGATGATGACGATGATGATGAGGCTGATGATGATGATGTTGATGATGATGATGCTGGTGATGATAATGATGATGAACATGATGGTGATGATAATGATGATGCTGATGCTGATGCTGATGATGATGATGATGCTGATGCTGATGCTGATGCTGATGCTGATGCTGATGATGCTGATGCTGATGATGATGACGATGATGATGAGGGTGATGATGATGATGTTGATGATGCTGATGATGATGACGATGATGATGAGGCTGATGATGATGATATTGATGATGATGATGCTGATGATGAGGATGACGATGATGATGGTGGTGATGATGATGATGCTAAGGATAAGGCAGATGATGAGGATGATGATGATGATGAGGATGACGATGATGATAGTTTTGATGATGATGATGATGATGATGATGATGATGATGATGATGATGATGCTAAGGAGGAGGCAGATGATGAGGAGGATGAGGATGAGGATGAGGATGAGGATGATGATGATGATGACGATGAGGATGATGATGATGATGAGGAGGAGGAGGAGGAGGACAAGGAGGTCCAGCGTCGAAAGGAGGAGAGGCAGGAGGAGGTGGCGAGAGGAGGATGAGGAGGAGGAGGAGGAGGAGGAGGCCAAGCGGCGAGAGGAGGGGGGGGAGAGGAGGAAGGGACTTGGAACCGTTTGCCGCCCCGCCCACCCCCCACACTGGCCTCGCCCAAGACGAAGGCAGAATGAAGACATAACAGGAGTTATGTCGATCTCTAGCCCAGACTTCGTGGCGTCTTCGAAAGGACCAGAAAATTTGGGGCCCAACCCTAGGATATACGATGGAGGGGGGCTGCCAATTCCCGATAGGGGTACGTCCGAAGAGCCCCCTTGTGGTGTATCCCAGGATTTCCTTCCTTCTCTGAGCGGCCTCATTTGTCGTCAGTCGCGGGCTGTGCGAGAAAAATCGCCTGCGAAGAGAAGCACCGGATTTAGATTAGGACAGGCTGGAATCTCTGGGAGCCTTGGGGTCTGGAAGATGTGCCCGGCGCCGCACGCGGCCGTCCCGGGGCGCTGCAGAGCGCCCGGATGGCGCTCCCGCACGCCCCACGGGGTCTGACGCACGATCTACACTGGAGGCGATGGCGCTGACAGCCAACCCGTATCATAAGGATGCACGGCAAGGATGCAAGGGCCTTGGAGGGCCATGCTGTGACTTTTGCGAACGAGGTGGGCCGAGGGGGGCAAGGATGCCAGGGTACCCTTGGGAAGGCTGCCCATCCTCACCATGCGGGTGACTGCGCGCGCGACCCTACGCGGGCAGCCTACGCGCCAATTTCGGCGCAGACGACCACGATTTCTTGCGCCGCTCATCTAGGCCTGCCTGACCCATGCCCCTCCCTTCGGCCCCCTCCGGGCCGAGGGCCTTATCTTTGTCCCCCTCGATGGAGCTCCTCATTGTCAGC